TTCTTTTTTTTACTAAATACAGACATTTCTTAAAGATGATACCGTATAGCAGAAAATGGGCCTTGAAATCTGGCACCGTCAATATGTGTGTAGCTTTGCTTAATCTCTTGTTCCCTCTTCGTCTCATGATGAAGATTAAATTAGGGCATTTGTTCACATCAGGTGCTCAGTATGTCAGCCAATCTTTCTAAAGACAAATACTGTCTCAGCCATTGGGGTTGGAAGTACTCTCCATATTTTGGAGCAAGTCAATTTGGAATAAAAATCATAGAATCAAAAAAAAAAATCATAGAATCAAGAATCTTCTAGTCCAGGGGTGCCTGGGTGGCACAATCGGTTAAGCATCCAACTCTTGGTTTTGCTTAGGTCATGATCCCAGCATTGTGAAATCGAGCCCCGCATCAGGCTCCATGTTCAGTGTGCAGTTGGCTTGGGACTGTCTCCCTCTGACTCTTCCATCATTGCCTCCCCGCCCACCAGTTCTCTCTAAAATAAATGAATCTTAAGAAAAAAAAAAAAAATCTAATCCAACCCTTTCACATGAGGAGGAGGAAGCAATGTAAGAACATCAATTATTTATGTCAAATAATCTAGTATTAAATTTGGGGACCCAAACCTTTCACCTTCTTGCTTTCCAAACCAAAGCTGATTTCCCTTTTAACTGCCTATGTGTATATATGATCTCCCATAGAAGTTCACTTCTATTAACACGAAAGATAACAGGTGGTAAGAAGTTAGGAGCTCTAGCCACACTTCCACTACCATATTATGAATTTACTAATATGAAGTGATTGTGGTTTTTGCTTCCCTTTCTCAGCTGCACATATAAAGGCTACAATGCAAACAAATCTGAACCTAAAAAAATATCTTTAGTAATCATTCTTTACAAGTCCAAACAAAATGCAGTCTTTGAGAGCTTCCTTTCCTGCTTAATGTTGAATTAGGTGATATTTAAGATCCCTTCATGTTTTAATCCAAGTATAGAAAGTAGTAGTGTTCTCCATAAGAATTATATGCTCACTACACTGGGTAAAATTTATGGACGGGGAAAACAAATGGAAAAACAAAGTGGCTACCCAGGAAATATTTTTGGATTTAAAATTCTGAGACTACTATGTAACATTCACCATGAAGCATGGCAAGAAAGTTTTCTGATATCAGCAAGCCGGAAATGATTTGGTTCGACTGTAAACATTTTAAGTCAAGACTAAACGTGGAAACAGTTTTCTATGACAACAAAACTGTCAATGGTGTAAACTGAATGAAAAGATAACATTTCCTATATTTTCTTTGTTGTGTCACTCATGCTTTCATTCATGTTTATTCTTATCTAATTATTCTGGTTTACAAACGTCTAAAACCTAGTCAGAAGGTGAATTTTATTTTTAAAGATTTATTTATTTATTCATGAGAGAGACAGAGGCAGAGACACAGAGGGAGAAGCAGGAGCCCGACGTGGGACTCGATCCGGGGTCTCCAGGATCATGAAGGCGGCGCTAAACCGCTGAGCCACCCAGGCTGCCCAGAAGGTGAATTTTAGTGAGGAAAGGTGATGATATAATATTAATTTTCTCTCCTATGGACTTAATTCAAATGTACAGTAGCAGTTTGTTGTTGAAAAACTTGACAATACGCCAATTTTTAAAACAGCGTATAAACAATTTCCCAACATGTTCTAAATTCCTCTCTATTCCTAGGATACCAAGGCTCTCCTTATGATAACTCTTTTTGGATAATTCTTTTAATAAAAGTATATATACATTTGAAATTGTACATTGCAACTTCAACATTGGTCACAGGGCTTCCTGAAGAATACTGATCATGAGAACAAATTCTAAATAACAATGGTTTTAAATATTCTTGCTCAGATAGGTCTTATTTTTCTCAGAGAAAGAACATCAAGGCTTGACTAGGATGTTTCTCCTGAAAACGCCGCTGCAGATGATGATGGACACCAAGTAAGTTGGTCTGGTTCTGCGTATCAGAACCATTTTTTTAATCTGAATTTTAATTGGTGACAAGCATGCATAGAAAGAACTAGCTTTTATTTCTGTGCTGCCTCTGCCCTCCACAGGAAACAGGATGCTAAGTGACTTCGGAGCTTAGTTAGCATCTCTGAGATTCCAGGAGTTCCTATCACTATCCTAAGAAGAGTCCACGGTGACTCTTTCCAGAAAACTGAGGGGCTTATTAAATGTTAGGAATGGGACACGGCGGTTGCACCTCGAGCAAATGAAACTTATAATAACAAACACTGTGTTCCATTAGGGATAAAACGGAAATTTATTCAATGTGGGAATTCTTTGGATAGGTTTGACTCTCAATCAAAAAAAGACACGGAGATCATGAAAGGGTTCAGAAGAGAAGCAGAGCTAATTTCAAAATAGGAAATAAGGGCGAAAAGCACATGTTTAAAGAACAAGGCTAGATGGCAACAGTGTCTTTATATACTTTAATTATAAGAAAGGAGAGTTACTAAATGCAGGGCCCCAGGGGGGAAATGGGATTTAAAAGCCCTTAAGAACTGAGGATAAATTAATACAGAACTTTCTGATACTTGAAGACCATCTTGCTGCAGTTTTGACGCAGAGGGTGCATTCACTGAACTCTTGGGAGCTCTGGAACCGTGGAAAAATTAATCATCTTTATTAAATTATCTTTAGGCGCCGCATCCCTGGTTCCTGAGCACTCCCAGAGGCCTGCCTCCAGGTTAAGTTGCTCGGGCCCCCCCAGGGGAGCAAAACTGCATCTCCTTACCTGCCCACGCCGCCCCACGGCTCAGACGGGCCGGAGCGGTGGTCACAAGCCCCAGGACACAGAATCTGGCCAAAGATCGCTGATTCCGCATCAGGCCGCCTCAACTATTAAACTATTACCTTTTCCTTTCAGGGAATGTAATCACGAACAATCGTCCTTATGCCAACAGAAAGGCGGACAAAAAGAATGCTTGGGGAAGGAAATCGACTGTCTCAAAGCTTGAAAATTAAAATATATTAAATATTTAATATTTATATATTAAGATATAAAGCGCCTTCGTGATTTGGAAGTTTTCTAAGCCCTGTATCTTAATTTTGTTTTTGTTTTTTTCCCCCCAAGAAAAAACCGGGTCTTCGTGAAATTAAAGTTGCTTTGCTTCTTGCTTGGAAACACTGTCCCTACCCCATAAAGGAAGGGGCTGCCTCACGGGAAGGTACCAGAGCTGCGGCCGGCAGGTACTCACGAGCAGTCAAGCAACCTCGGAAATCCAGAAAGAAGTGACGAATTCCGGGCTGCACGGTCCTCAGGGCACGTCCGCTGGGACGCGCGGGGCGAGAGCGGGTCACCGTCTGCGCTCCGCGGGGCGACATCCTCTCTCCACAGCGCAGAGCGCTCCACCTGGAGGTCACGGCGGGAGCGCGGCTTGCAGAGCGAGAATTCAGAAAACCACAAAAAAAAGGTCACGGAAAGCAGGGAGGCGGGAGGTGAGCACGGAGGGGGTCGGGGGGAGCGCCTGGAGGGGGTGGGCGAGCCCGGCGCACCCCCGGGGCCTGCTCGCCGCTGCCGCCCCACCCCAGGTGCGGGAGGGGGGGCGCGGAGGGGGGGAGCAGGCTGCAGCGGGAGGCCGCGCGGGGCGCCGGGTGCTGCCGTCGAGGCCCGGGGCTGCTCGCAGCTGCCGCCCCGCCGCAGGTGCGGGGGTGGGGCGCGGAGGGTGGGGGAGCGGGGCGAGCGGGGGCGCGGGGAGAGGGAAACAGGGCGCGAGGGGGCGAGGTGCTGCCGTCGGGGGGCGCGGGGTGGGGAACGGGACACGGGGGTCGGGGTGCTGCCGTCGGGGGATGGGGGAACGGGGCGCGGGGGGAATGGGCCGTGGGGGAGGGGAACGAGGCGCGGGGCGGGGGTAGCGGGGTCTGCCGTCGGGGGGAGCGGGGCCAGGGGGCGAGCGGGGCGCGGGGGGGGGGAGCTGCCGTCGGGGGCCGGGGCGGGACCCTGCGGGGCTGCGAGCTCTCCGCAGGTTCCCTTCGGTCCGGGCCCTGGGCCAGGCGAGCCGGAGTTCCCGCCTGCTCCCGCCTGCTCCCGCCTGCTCCCGCCTGCTCCCGCCTGCTCCCGCCTGCTCCCGCCCGCTCCCGCCTGCTCCCGCCGCCCTCGCTCGGCCCCGCCCCGCGCCGTGTGCAGCGCCCACTCCGCTGCGCTCCGCCCGCGTCCGTCCCATCGCGGCGGGGGGGAAGGGGGAGTCGCCGGGGGGGGGGGGGGGCCGGGACCCCGTGCCCGACCGTTGCCGCGCTCGCAGGGCGTGGAGGGGCGTGGGGGTGTCGCCCCCCAGGTGGCCCCCGCCCGGCCATCCCCGCGGGGAGTTCCATTTTCCCGCCGCTCCGGGGCGCGACGCCGTCCGCCGGGTTTTCGGGTTTCAACTTTCCGTCCTCCTCGGACCCGCGGGCTTCTGGGGCACCTGCGGCGCGGCCGCCGCCCTCCGCGCTCCCCCCTCCTGCGGGAGACGCCCCCGGGCGGGCGGGGCGGGGCGGGGCCACCCGGGGCGTGGCGAGGCGGGACACCGGGGCGGGGCGGGGCACCGGGGCGGGGGCGGGGGCGGGCGGAGCCGCCTGCGGGCCGGGGAGCCCCGGGCTCGGGCGAGCGGCGCGCCTGCCCTCGGGGCGGCTGCCCGGATCGCGGCGCGCGGGAGATGGGGAGCGGGCGGCGCGGGGCGGGGGGGGCGGGGAGCGCGCGGGGGCGGCTGGCAGGGGGCGCTGGAGGCGGGAGGCGCCCGGGCGGCGCTCCCCGAGGGCGCAGGCGGCGCTGACGCGGCGGCCGCTCGGCGCGGGGCCGGCGGGCGGGGGGCGGGGGCGGGGCGGGGGGCGCTGGCGCCGGGGGCGTCGCGGGCCGCGGCCCCTTTGTTCTCGGCTCGCCCTCGCCGCCCACGGGCCTGCTGTCGCGGCGGCGGCGGCGGCGGCGGCGGCGGCGGCGGCGGCTCCTCCCGCGCGGGCGGCGGCGCTCGGCGCGGGGCGCGGGGGGCGGGGGCGCGGGGGGCGATGGCGAAGCTGCGGGTGGCGTACGAGTACACGGAAGCCGAGGACAAGAGCATCCGGCTCGGCCTGTTTCTCATCATCTCGGGCGTCGTGTCGCTCTTCATCTTCGGCTTCTGCTGGCTCAGCCCCGCGCTGCAGGACCTGCAGGCCACGGCGGCCAACTGCACGGTGCTGTCGGTGCAGCAGCTCGGCGAGCTCTTCGAGTGCACCTTCACCTGTGGCGCCGACTGCAGGGGCACCGCGCTCTACCCCTGCGTGCAGGTCTACGTGAACAACTCCGAGTCCCACTCCAGGGCGCTGCTGCACAGCGACGAGCACCAGCTGCTCGCCAACCCCAAGGTAGGGCGCCCCGCCGGGGAGCGCGGGCCGGGGGGGGGGGGGCCGGGAGAGGGGGGCTGTGCCCACCTGGAGCCGGGGCAGCGGGGAGGTGGGAGGGGGCCGTGCCCACCCGGAGCCGGGGCAGGGCCTGGGGGTTGGGGGGGCTGTGCTCACCCGGGGCAGGGTCAGGGGGGAGGTGGGGGGGCTGTGCTCACCCGGGGCAGGGAGAGGGGGGAGGGGGCCGTGCCCACCCGGAGCCGGGGCAGGGGGCAGGTGAGAGGGGGCTGTGCTGACCCAGGGCAGGGGGAGGGGGGAGGGGGCCGTGCCCACCCGGAGCCGGGGCAGGGCATGGGGGTTGGGGGGGCTGTGCCCACTTGGAGCCGGGGCAGGGGGCAGGTGGGGGGGCTGTGCTCACCCGGGGCAGGGGGAGGGGGGAGGGGGCCGTGCCCACCCGGAGCCGGGGCAGGGGGCAGGTGGGGGGGCTGTGCTCACTCGGAGCCGGGGCAGGGGGGAGGTGGGAGGGGGCTGTGCCCACTCGAAGCCGGAGCCGGGGCAGGGGGCAGGTGAGAGGGGGCTGTGCTGACCCAGGGCAGGGGGGAGTTGAGGGACTGTGCCCACCCGGAGCTGGCCCAGGACGTGCGGGGGGGGGGGCACCCCGAGCCGGGCGGCCGGCGCTGCAGGCTGCTGTGGCCCCGCGCGGCTCCCCCCGATCCCCGGCGCCCCCACCCGGGGGACCCACGTGAACACTCCGCGGGGCGCCGGGGTCCGGGGGGCGGTGCCGGCCGGGGGGCTGCGAGCGGGCGCGGGGCTCAGGGCGCGCGGGGGGCCGGGCGGCGCCGCGCGTGCCGGGGACCGGGGAGCCATCTGCGCGCAGAGCGGCGAAACTTACTGAAAATAGAAAAGCCTCCGTGCGATGTACCGAACATTCCTTCCCTGGCAACTTTTTATCGTTCTCAAAAGAAAAAAAAAAAAGGGAAAGAAAAAAGGAAAAACCTGGTTAGGACTCGAGGGAAGCAGAGCCGAGGACGGAGACGCAGGAAACTGGTCCCGGGGGAGAAAAACACTTTAAAAAGCCGCGTCCTTGGCCTGTGAACTACTTGAGCTGCGTTAGTAGAGCTGCTTCTGCAGGAAGGCCTCGCTCCTCTCTCCCTCTCTCTCTCTTTTTTCTTTCTTTTCTTTCTTTTCTTCCCTTTCCCTTTCCTTTCCCTATCCCTTTCCCTTTCCCTTTCCCTTTCCCTTCCCTTCCTTCTTCCTTCTTCCTTTCTCCCCTTCCCTTCTCTTGCTGTGTTGTAGTTGCTGAACCATTGAGTCAGGGTGTTTCCCCTTTAAAGTTCCCGCCCTTTGCGCCCCTCTGCAGACCAAGCAGAAAAACCATCCAAAAGGCAATGGGTCTCTTGTGCACAGCAACACTTTGTTAACTGTACAAAAGAAAACATTTCTCTATTAGCATTTTAGGAGAACTTAAAACAGACCCGTCATTTCTCTGCAGGAAGACTCCAGGTCTCGTTTCCTCAGCAAACAGTAAATTCTTGGATTTGGGAAATTTAAAAAAAAAGGAATTCCTTTAAAAAAAAAAATGACTCCTCTTTTAAAAAGATGCTCTTGGGGATCCCTGGGTGGCGCAGCGGTTTGGCGCCTGCCTTTGGCCCAGGGCGCGATCCTGGAGACCCGGGATCGAATCCCATGTCGGGCTCCCGGTGCATGGAGCCTGCTTCTCCCTCTGCCTGTGTCTCTGCCTGCCTCTCTCTCTCTCTCTCTCTCTCTCTCTCTCTCTCTCTCTCTCTATCATAAATAAATAAATTAAAAAAAAAAAAAAAGATGCTCTTGGGGCAGCCCTGGTGGCGCAGCGGTTTACCGGGGCGTGATCCTGGAGACCCTGGATCGAATCCCATGTCGGGCTCCCTGCAGGGAGCCTGCTTCTCCCTCTGCCTGTGTCTCTGCCTCTCTCTCTGTGTGTCTCTCATGAATAAATAAATAAAATCTTAAAAAGATGCTCCTGTCAGTGAATGTAGATTCATTTCATTTAGAAATGAAGATCATATCGAATAAGTAGACCTAGAGATAGATTTAGATAAGGCATGATGTTCAATGTCCTGAAGAAGCCGTGTCTCAAAAACAAACGTAGGTCAATGTGATAAAACCCAGGAATCTCTAAAGAAATCTTAGAGACATCACTTTGATTCAGGGTTAAACCATTAATATAAAGCACAGTGCCAAGCAGGAATAGAGATGCAGCAATCATCTGATACTTCGTCATTTAGGACGCATCGTTGTAACTGGTGAAACACTGCTAATAGGATAGTGTTTCGGGGACCGCCTGGTGGCTCAGCAGTTGGGCACCTGCCTGGGCCCAGGGTGTGATCCTGGTCCCGGGATCAAGTCCCGCGTCGGGCTCCCCATGAGGAGCCTGCTTCTCCCCCTGCCTCTGTCTCTGCCTCTCTCTGTGTCTCTCGTAAATAAATAAAATCTTTTAAAAGAAAAAAAAAAAGATAGTGATTCAGGCCCTAATAATAAATTATGTACACAAATACCAGTAAATGGCTAATATCTAATCAAGACATAGAGAAGTTAGGATTTACTGCAAAAAGCCTGCTTTGTAATTTCCGGGCAATTTTGAAGGACCTGGCAAAAAAAACATAAATTGGGATCATTAGGATATAGATTTTTACCTCCCTTGGAAGCAGTCATGATGCTTTATGTAATGCTACGGTTTTGTCTTTCTCTTTTTGTTGCAAATAGTTTGTTTTCTTCAAGTGCCAGTCCAGATCCTGGCAACTATTGTTTTGAAGAAGTATCTGGACAGAATGACATTTTAGGAAGTATTCAAGAAATGACAGAATTGGAGAAAGATAACTATGCTACCAAAAACAAAACAAAACAAACAAACAAAGAAAAAAACCGCGATGAATCCCATGCTGGTCCATTTAGTCAAGGTTTCCTTAGGCCGGCCAGTCAGTCTATACTGTCTCTTTATCCAAATTGTGATTACAGTAAAGCCTTTAGAGAACAGAGGTTTGTTCTTTTGCAGTCACCTTTCTGCTTTTGGACAATTAAATGCTCCATTTGGAAATTCTTGTAAGCCATCAGTGATGGAAAAATTCAACAGCCGAAGCTCGGTGCCAGAGTCCAGGACAGAAGCAGACCGTGTGCACTGTCCTCTCATCTTAGGCAACACCCGTCGCCCCTTCCCGTGCCTCCTGGCTGCCTTCATCTTTTCTGTGCCTCACGTTACCCACGTATCGAAGGCCTAGGTTCCCTGCCCATTCCAATGTCCCGATTCCCTTCCATGCTGCGGATCCTAATCACCTTCCGCCTTTTTCTTCTTTGCAGCCCACTACTGTAAGAGCCCACTTAGGATTTCACTTCTTAGGGAAAAAAGAACAGGGACTCCTCCCCCACCCCTCCCTTCAGTTTGCTGCCTCGATTTAGTAAAAGGGAGGGGAAGGGAAAAGAATATTGCAAATGTAGACTTCTTAAGCCACAGACTACCAAAGAGAATGATGTGAATCAATGTGACCTTTGACTAATATTCTCTTTAAAATACCTTTAAGTGGATCCTGTCCATATTGTCAGGGGTAATCGGTGTATCTATCCAGTCCCACGACTTAGTATTCAAGTCAGTTGGTTATACCAGGGACCTGCTCTGGGATTTAACCGCAGTGAAATCTCAGTGTGGGACCAGCTCCTGTGGCTGCTCTTCCCATCACTGCATTATTCCTGAGGGGCCTGCAGTTAGTTGTGTGGGCTGAGAGCTTTGGTTCTTAACCGTGGCTGCCCATTAGACTCACTGGGGGAACTCTGAAAAGAAATTCTGGTGCTTGGGTCCCACCCTCAGAGATTTGGACTTGGTCTTGGGAGAGTCCTGAAGGTGGTTGGTGTTTTTTTTAAAAAAGTTCTGCGAGTGACCCCCAATGTGTAGACAGAGTCCAAAACCACTGGCTTAGAAAACATACTGTGCAAGAAAAGTGAAATAAGAACCAAAAGGATTCATTGTGATTAATACCTGTGTTCTCAGGTTCAAAGATGTTACTGATGCTACTGAGTACAGGGAGCTGGTGTAAAAGGAGGGTCTCAAGGAAATTCTGAAGGAAGAGAATCATTTAACGTTCGTGTAGAAACGATCATCTAAAATTGGTTTAGTATAAACGGAATGTAAACGGAATGAACTTACACAGTTTGTTTGCTTTTTGCATCAATATATACGTTGGGTGGCCAAGAAAAGATGAATTTTTAAAACTACCTCTTGTATGTGCAACAAGAGAGAGTGGGTGATTAGAGGCTATATGTTTTATTTTTGCTTCGAGAGTTTTTTTTTAAATTTCTTTCTCTGGTCTGAAAAACCTAGACACAAAGGGAAAAAAAATCTGTTTCTAAGAAACCAGTATTGTGAAAGGGAGAGAAATTCATTGAAGAGAAGGAAGACTTTAGACTTTGAGTGTTTTCTCCCAAACTGGATGTCCCTAACTGCGCCCTTGTAGCTTCCTGTCACCTTCTTGGGACCTCCCCATCCTTAGGAGCCCGGGTGCCCTAAGCCCCCGTGCCCCGCCCCCACACACACACTTCCTGCGGAGGCAGTGAGGTCTGCTGGGGTCAATTTCTGAACTCCATCCCTGAAATAAATGTTCAGTGTGATATACTTTGTGCTCTCGGGAGGCCCATCAAATGAAGACTGAGTAATAAAAGGCTAAGCTGGCTTGTGAGGATTTCTCTATTATCTTTGTTTCTCAATGATAAACCTGGCTTGCTGTGGTTTTTCCTCTGGTGACTCTATGAAATAAGTTTTGGTACGTAGGTAAAACTCAAGTCTGCCAATACTTGCTTAGCATCTGGGTTCAAAGAACGGAGCCAGAAACGGGAGCACATCTTCGAATCTTATGATCAAAGAACAGGGTGAGAAACAGAAGGACAGCCAAGATAAGTGTATTCATTTAACAAATATTTGTTAAATGCCTACTTTGTGCTAGGAGTGCTTGCAGGTTCTGAGGCTAGAATAGAGATCGAAATAAAGTCTCTGCCCTCGT